TCTAGTTATATATCTCCAATTAAAAATAATTGATTTAGTTTACAAAGTATCCACTTTCATCATTGTACAACCACTAGTTAATTTTGGTCAGTACTGGGATTGAACTGGTGGCCTTGTATATAGTAGGCAAGTGCTCTACTCTGCTGCAACATCCACAGGTTAACTTGTAAGATGGTCGTTCTTTTTTATCCTGTCTTGTACTTACGTAGTTATAATCCAAAAAAGAAAACATGTCTGCCCTTGGTACTAGTGCTTTTTTTGTTGCTAACAACACTCAACAAAAGCAACCTAGGGGGAGATTTATTTGGGCTTATAGGTTAAAGGGACATGGTGTATCTTGGAAGAATGGTGTTTTCCTGTGTCCTGTAGCCATTCAGTCCCAAATAAACACACAGAGGCTTATATTAATTATAAACCGTTTGGTCTATGGCCCAGGCTTATTACCAACTAGCTAACTCATTTTAACTTAACTCATTTCTATTATCTGTGTATCGCCACGTGTCTCATGGCTTTACTTGAGTTCCATTACATCTTGTGTCTCAGGTGGTGGCTTGCAGCGTCTCCTCTGACTCCGCCTTTCTTTTCCCTGTATCTCTCTTGGATTTCCCGCCTGGCTGTCTCCTGTCTTGCCATAGGTCAAAGCAGCTTCTTTATTAACCAGTGGTAGCAGCATATATTCACAGCATACAGGAAGACCATTTCATAGCAGAATGGTGTCCTGGTAGAGCATCAAGCTTGTGTCCTCAGGAAGCAGATGAGATTATGCTGGTGCTTGGCTTGCTTCTTCCTTTTCCTCTTTGTGTTTATTCCAGTACCTTAGCCCATATGATGTTGCCATTTACATTCAGCATGGGTCTTCTCTCCTCAGTTAAAACTCTATGGAAGCACTCCAGACACTCCCGTGTGTCTTCTAGGTGACTCCAAATCCAGTTATTAATGAAAATAAATGATCACATTCCTTTGTTTTGTACTTTTTGTGGATAAGCAGTTTAGAACTCCTTCACCGGCATGTATAATGCTTGTCTCCCATGTGTTTTAAATTATAGACAAGAAGGCTGGGGATTTGCTCTTGTTCTTCTTACTGTCTTCTAAATCACTTCTGGTTTGGTTGAAATGGACAACAGAATGCTCTACAAAAGTAGATACACACCCATGGTGTATGTAAATGAGCTCTATCTTTAAAATGTTTATTCTTGGACTAGAGAGATGGCTTAGTAGTTGAAGTGTACTGGCTTGATGCACAGTTGTGAGCACCAGAGTTGTGATCCCAGCACCCTTGTCAAAGCCAGGTGTGTCCCCACACATGCCTGTAATCCCAGTAGTAAGGGAGATTGCTGGGGTTTGCTGACTGCCAGCATACCTCAAAACCAGGGGCTCCAGGCTCAGTGAGATGCTGCCTCAAAGGAACAAAGCAGAGTGGTAGAGAGGGATTCCTATTTTCTTTAGTCTCAGTGTAGCTGTGTACTTCTACACACACATCTTACAGAAAATAAAATCTCATGTTTTGAAAATTTTATAGGAAAGTTCAAAGTATAGTGGAGTGAAATATTCGTTACCTATGTCCAACTGTAGAAATTTTGCCACTTTTGCTTCATATATCTGTCTACTTTATATACTTGGTCCTGGGATTGAACCCAGGGCTTTGTACACAAGAAAAGGGTATTATACTTGGCCTGTTACTACTTCAACACATATTTCTTTAAGGGTGTTTGTTCCAGGAGTATAGATATAGAGTGCTCAACTAGCACACGAGGCTTTGCAGTTTAATTCTCAGTAAGTACCCACACCCCAGGAAAGAATGATCAGAATGTAATTGTTATACCAACGAAGTTTTAACATTGTTGCATAATAAATTATATACAGACTCAGTTTCCCCCAAGGTTCTTCTGTGCACCCCACCCTGTTATGGAGCAGTGCTTCTCTTCGTTCTAGAAAAACTCCCCTTTTAGGGTTTTAAGAAATTAACACTAGAAAAATTGTGTCAGTTGCATATAAAAGTCTAATTCTCATGAGGATATGCTGAGGAGAAATATTTTGACAGACTTCATAGACATCACATTGCATTCATTATGGCCCGTGAGTTGTCATAGTATTCCAATGTGCTTGATCACTTCGTGTCTGTTCCCATCCTTGTGAATTTTTTAAACAAGTAGATTGGGAGCTACTTGAGGCAATATGGATATCATGTTCACACACTGATTTTAGCATTCATTGATATTCTTTCCTAAATCCACCATTTCCTTGTATTTGCCCTGCAAGTTTGATTTCCCAAATCTAGTATTCTATTTATACTGACATATTACAAAGAATATCACTATCAGCTCATAGATTCTTTTGTTGAAAGGGTCAGGGCAGGTTGGAGACAGGCTTTGTGTAGCCTTGGCTGTCCTGGAACTTGCTCTGACTCAGAGATCTGCCTTCCTCTGCTGGGATTAAAGGCACATGCCATCACTGCCAGGCTAGATTCTTAAATTTTTTATTGAGAATTTTATACAATATATTTTGGATCATATCCCCCACCCTCCCACCTCCTCCCAGATCCACCTTCATCTTCCTACCCACCCAACTTTGTGTTTTCTTCCACTTTAAACTCATTGAGTCCAATTTGTGTTGCCCAACTGCTCAGAGTGGAGGCCTGCCCTAGAATGTGACCCCAGGGGTTGCTCCCTAAGAGCTCCTCAGTTAGTGATGGCATTTTGTGTTCTCTCCTGTCTTCATGCTGGGACTCTTGACTTGATCACATGCAGTTCTTGTGTGCGTTGTCACAAACTATGAGTTCCTATGTGCAGCTTCTAGGTTGTATCTGGAAAAGTTTGCTTGAAATCACCTACTACCCATGGCTCTTACAGTCTTTCTACCCCCTCTTCCACAAAGATCTGAGCCTTGGAGAGGGGTGTGATAAACACATCTCATTTAGGGTTGAGCAATCCAGTTATTCTCTGCATGTTGACCAGTTGAGGATCTGGTAATTGCCATCTACTGAAACTTCTGTGAAGAGGGTTGAGAAATCCCTCTGTACAGCTTAAAAAAAAAAAAAAAGATGGGTTAACAAATTCCCCACCAGTACCTGCCAGTGCAGATTTCTCCCAGGGTCCAGAGTAGACACTACTAGTGGCGGCAAAGAAATTAATCTGAGGGATATCAAAAGAATCTAAGCATACCGAGCTCTATAGCCCATTCACTTTATTCTTCTAAGTCAATTCTATCTACACAGCTTCTTTTGTGTTTTCATACTTAGCTCCTCTCTGTCCCTTCTGTTTTCTCACTGTTCTATCTTAGTTCTTTCCATCTTTGTTCTCCCCCAAGTCTCTAGTTTCCAGTTTATATACACATACAATCAGCAATTCTCTGGCTATGTGGCTTTCTGGTAGGGCAGGGGAAGTTTACTCAGTTGCTAGGCAAAATGCGTCACAATGTGTAGTATTTGGTTAGTAAAAGCACTTTCGCTCTGAATTAATTGCTAAGAGGGAATCTTTAGAACTTGGTATAGCACCTGGGCTGAGATAAAAGAGGGAGGGCAAAAGCTTAATAATTCACACAAGAAATGAAGCTTGGCACCTATCATCTGCCTGGCCTTGTCCATTGTCTCCTTGGGTCAGTGGGAATATTTACCTTATCTCAGTAACTAGCAGATGGCCAAAACACCATCCCAGAATTGTAAGCAGTAAATCTCTTAAATTAGGGTCTTGTGTTAATAAACCAGGGTGAAGGTAAGGAGTTGATTTAATTGTTAGTGGTTATTTTCTCTTATCTGTAGGTGAGATGAGCTAATGCTTATCTATCTGGAGTCTGTCCTTGGATGTAGGAGAAGTATCTCAGATGAAATACTTTTGTCTGGAGAATAGCCCTGTCCAGATGTTTGCTAATAAATAAACACCACTGAGGAATGTTATTCAAAATACCCCAATAGTATATGGGAAGTTGTGCTCAGTAAATGATCATTCACACTGTTGGAAGTTCTTGGGAAAATAATCAAATGGGAAAGCTACAATAGCACACAAGAAATTCACTGCAGGACAGTGAATTAAACGGACAGTAAATAAAAAACAAAAACAAAAACAAAAACAGTATCACCGATACTCCTTGAGTTCTGGCTTCCCTCTGGAAAAGTTCTTGATTCTTCCAGCTTTGCCGATATCAGCTGAATTCCTACTTCATATTTCTGCGGCTTGCAGCAACGGGTAAAGCTTTTACTTGGTAAACTTACTTTTTTCTTGAGTAATGAGGTTCTATTGTTCACCTTCCCCACCCAACTCTCAATAACAAACAAGCCAAAGATGCCATTTTCAGAGAAGCAATGACCAAGACACTAGGGATCTGATTTGAACTGTGTGGCTAGGGGGACAAATTATACCTTTGTGCACTGATATCAGGGCTTAGCAACATCTTATACGACAATGTGACTGTGAAGTAAATTTGCATCATCAGTAGCTAGGTAGGTCACCAGTTAATTCAGGTTCTGTTTAAACTTAAATCAGTATATGAGCTCTGAATGAGAAGACAAGTCATGCTCCTGCACACTGTTCTGCAGTGATCACAGCATGGCCTCATTTTGGGCTGTTTGGGAGCAGTTGAGTATACATTTAAGCAGGAGGTAATCCTCTGGTGCTTTCTGCATGCCCTTTATTTGCAATATTTACCTCACACATGGAACTGTCAGGGTGCAGTTGACAGAGTATACTGCACTGTTTGTTCTCAAAATTCTACCAAAAGAAGCCCTATGGAGTGGGCAGAGCTGAGTTCACTTGGCCACTTGGTTGCTGTCAAGACAGTACTATGCATTTATTATTAAAATATCTGCCTTAATAAAACTTAACAAAAGTTTATTGAATGCTTTGTAGTATACATTCCTAAAAGGTATTTGCTGACAAATACTCTAATCTTGGCTTGTTAACTAAACTCATGTGGATGAATTAAAAATCAGCCTTTCTTTTGGGTCAACACTGTTTCTAGACACTGTACTGGGCAGAGAGACGACAAGATTACAACTTATACACAAATGCAGAAAGTATTTTTATTATGTAAAAGCATTTCTTGATGAGCAGCAATTATTTATGTGAAGAATTAAAAAAACTGACTTGCGATTATTTGCCTTGTCCTTGATTAGAGCCATGATTACACACATTCCTTCTAGTAGTTTCTGAAGTCTAAGAGGCTTGCAGGTCTGTCAGTCTGTTCTTATCACAGGAAAAAAGTACAGGATGGACAGTGTTCTCTTCTGAACTTACACCTTTAGAACAGTTCGAATGCTGTGAGAGCAAGAAGAATAAAATTTGAAAGATGAACTAAAAAAATTACATTTATTTATTCCATGTGTATGTACGTGTATGTATGCCTCATGGCATGTGTGTGGAGGGCAGTTCTCTTTTTCTACCATATGGGTCCTGGGGATTGAACTTGAGCCATCAGGCTTGGCAGCAGGCACTTTCTCCCTCTGAGCCCTGAATGGTGAATTTTTAGACCACTGATATTCTATTTGTTTTGATCCTCTCTCCCTCTTTAGGTATCAGGTCATCACTACTTCTGTATTATACAGCTGAGTTGAAAGCTCACCTTTTCCCCGAGTGCAGCAGGTCGAAGGCTTTGTTAATTTGGTCGAAGGGTAGATTGTCAGTCACAAATTCGTCAACTTTTATCTTTTTGGACATATATTCAGACACCAGCTTTGGGACACTCTCTACACTCTTCCAGCCTAAAAGAAATCACATTCTTAAGGATAAATTAAAAAAAATAATTTGTTTAACTTTATTTTATGTACATTGGTGTGAAGGTGTCAGACCCTCTGGAACTGGAGTTGTGAACTGCCATGTGGGTGCTGGGAATTGAACCCGGGTCCTCTAGAAGAGCAGCTAGTGCTCTTAACTGCTGAGCCATCTCTCTAGCCCCTCTTAAGGATAAATTTATGCGACAAGTTTCTATGGTGTACCTAATTAGTCATGTTCCTTTCCTGGGTGACACTGATACAGTTAAGAGGTTAAGTAGAATTCAAGGGGAAATGAAACATCCTATAACTGGTGTGAAGTGGAGGAAGAATTAGACACATCCGTAGCTGTGAAAAAGTACACACTTAGAGTTAATTGTTCTTTTCCTATATTAGGGCTACTAAACACTGGGCCTGATGACACAGACCTGAAAAGTTAGTTACAGTGGAGGCTGAGGCAGGAAGGATTGTAAGTTCAAGCCTAGTCAACTCTGCCTCAAAAACAAACAGCTTATAATTCTGCCGGAGAGCACTTGCCTAGCTAGTACGTGTAACTCTGGCTTCAAAGGCCCTTTCAAATCCAGCTCCTGGAATATGGTGCCCCCAGGAGCATGTGCCAGTTAAATAGTTCCAAGATACTAGAAACTATTTAGTCAGACTGACATCTCCTAAGGTAAACAGTATAGTCATAAAGAAGAAAATTTTGGTCATGCCCTCATTTTAGCATTTACTTTCCAAGGCTTTTATTGTGGGTTTCAAAAAAGTTGGTTCAATACACAGTCTGGGATCTTGACACATTCTCTTCAACAGATCATTCAAAATGTCTGGGATATTTTCCGCCCAATAAGGATGATAGGATAGGTTTGGTTATTTAGTTTTTTGAAAGCCTGTAAGAACTACGGAGGTCATTCATTCACAATAGTTGTGAGACATGTTTTGGTATCTTCTCCCCAGCTGAGCACCACAAAAGACTCTTTCTCCAATCTTCTACCTGTAGTTAGATACTGCCAAATGACTAAACAATGATTACACCAGGGGAAAATGATCAGTTTGATAGCTTTTAGTTTGCTAAAAAGTTTTGTCAATGTTTTCGTTTAGGACTCAGTATTGGTTACTACAGAAACCAGTGTTATTCAGAAAGGAGTCTGATCACACCCAATGATGGCTGCATTCTCTCTTGCTCAATTAATTCTTGCTCTCTCATTCTTTTGGGTCTTACCTTTTTTTGAGACAAGGCCTCACACTGTGTAGCTCTGGCTGTCCTGGGACTCACTATGTCCACCAGGCTGGCCTTGCACCTGCCTCTGCCTCCCAAGTACTGGGGTTAAAGGCCGCTCCACCTTGCTCTTGCCCTCCTTTCACAAGTGTGTATCATTTGGTTCTGTTTACTTCAGAAGCCGAATGCCTCCCCAGCACCAGCAGCCAACACTGATTGATTCTGAAAGCCTTCTTTTCAAGTCTCCCACAAACAATTCATGATGGAACTAAAACGTGTGATGATTTGTGTTCATACAAGACAATGAGACTGGGATTTAAATTACACCAATGGAAACAGAGTAGAGAAAATCTACTTCTCCACTGCATTACCTCCAAAGGCAGTGCCTTTCCACGTGCGGCCTGTCACCAGCTGGAAGGGACGAGTGGCGATTTCTTCACCAGCAGCAGCTACGCCAACCACCACACTGACTCCCCAGCCTTTGTGGGCTGCCTCAAGGGCTGCTCTCTGCAAGCACAGAGATAATAAGATGGATCACAGGTGTCTGTGAACTGCAGAGAATGCCCTCTTACCCAGAAACTTCCAGCGGAGGAAGGGTGACAGAGCCGTTTAAAAATGGCAACAAATCCCCACACTTTTTACAAGTATCTTTAAAAATTAACCTGAGTATTAAATGGGACAAATTTCCTTTTCTTTTTAAACTTTATATCCTATATCCACAATGAAAATGAATGAATCTAGACTGCTTCTCTCTCATAAGTTATAAAAAAAACCCACTACAAATGGACTTAAATTTAAGACCTGAGACTTTCAAAGTACTAGAAGAAAACATAAGAGAAATACAGACACTGGAACAGGGAACCTTTTTGGGTAAGATTTCAAACAACACAGGAAGTGAAAGCAGAAACAAACAGATTGAGCAAATAAAGACTTCTGCACGGCAGAGAACACCAGAGTGCACACAGATCATTTGTAAAATGACAAGAAACCCCTAAACTCCAACAACAAAGAGCCAAACAACCAGGGCCAGGGATGTAAAAAGACATTTCTCCAAAGCAGACACAGAGGGCAAACAGATAGCTGAAAAAATGTTCAACATCACTAGTCACTCCTGAGACTCAAAACCACAACACATCACCTCACTCGAGTGAGAATGACAGTAATCAGGAAGGTTACAAAGGAACTTTCTAGAATTCTCCATGAAAGGAGGAGGAGGAGGAGCAGGAGCTGTCCACCCTTCTGGCCTCAGCTTTCTCATTAGCTGTAGAAAGTGGGTAAGGAAACCATTTATTGTGATTGTTTTTTTCTTGGGGTGGAGGGGGGTAGTCAAACCCAATGTTACCTAGGAAGAGCTAAAAAAGGCCAGTAGAGAATCCAAATGAGAGAGAAAGGCTTAAACAGATTTCTCAAGCCTCTGAGAGTCTGATTCCAACAGCAGGGAATTACATGACAAGGGAGAAGAGCAGGTAATTGAGAATGGTGCAGGTGGGGACTGTGGTTCCGACATGGGTGATGGTTTCTGGAGGAGGAGGAGAGAGGAGAGAGATGGAAGTGTACATCAGCTCTCAGTGTCCTTGGAGAAGGTCCAAAAGAAAAAAAAAAAGGCTCTGCAAGTGTCTGTGACAATGTGAAGGCCAAAGAGGTAAGAAAGGAGCTGTTGGGAGTGTAACCTCAAGTGCTCAGGCCCTGTGATGAAAATCAGTACTCAAAAGCTAGGACAGGGACGGGCTCAGCAAATTCAGTCTGTGTGCATGAAGTGCCAGGGTCACGGGGGACAGCTTGGTCCCAAAGACAGACTGAGCTGCAATGGAGGAGAGATGGTTCAAGGGCAGATTCTACAAGTTCATCTTGAAAATGAACTATGGCTAGAAGATAATACCGTCTGGTGTAGGAAAAAAAGCCCAGGATTGAGCCAGGGGATACTGTTAGATTAGAGGGACCATGTTGTTTTTATTTGATGAGAAAACCTTTTATATGTACCACCAATACAGCTTCCAAAAGCCAATACCTACTCTTCACAACCAAGTCACACTCATCACCTCATCCAAGACAGACTGTCAGCCACTGAGGAGACATAGAAGGTGAGCTAATTGAAGACATCCCAACACATCATGAAACATGCCAATACCATATGGAAAGACCTCATCATCAAGTTAAAGCTAAGATTCCTAAGAATGACGTACGTCTTCTCTCCTCATAAACTCTCTGTGCCAAAAAAACTTCTTCCTAAGAGAAAGGAAGAGAATGATGAAATGGATCAGGTAGAGCTGGGGGACTCTGACCCAAACAAGAATGGAGCAGCCACGTGTTTGCCGTAGCACAGCCCAAGTGTCTGCAGCTGCTATTCATACTTGACAAAGCTAGACAATCTTGAAGGTTTCCCCCATTTAGGCAAGTGTAAACAGTACACAAAGGATTGATTGTTACCTGGTAATCCAGCAATGTGCAAGTTTTATGCTTCTAGGTATCAGTTTAAAAATAAAAGTAAACCCCAACTCAAAATTAAAGATTGTAGTGCTGGAGAGAGAGCTCAGCGGTACAGAGGACCAGGTTTCAGATCCTGGTACCCACAAGGTGGCTCACAACCATCCCTAACTCCAATTCTTGAGGATCCAATGACCTCTTCTGATTTTGTGGGCACCAGGCACATGTGTGGTGTACATTATGTACACAAAGGCAAAACATTCAGACACATAAATCTAAAAAAATTTTTTTTTTTAAATTCAAGATTTCAGTGCAAGAAGCTGTCAAAAGTAACTGTAAGACACTCACTATTTAATGTTACCTACGTCTGTTAGAATCTGCATCCTTTACTCAGGTCACCATGTAAGGATGTGTGTGCACATCCAATTCCAAAGCTTGTGCTCTCCACACTATTCAGCTTTTCATTCCATGCAGTCAGAGGCAAAGAAACATTGTTTTGTTCATCTTTCCCTGATCCCTTCTATCACTTCCCACTCAAATAGTTCCAAGTAGTTGAGAAGCTATTACCATCCTTCGCTTTCTTTAGAATTAATTCCTATCAAAGCTGTTCCTTCCAAAACAAAATCACCTTTAATCTTAAGGAAACTGCATTTTAAAAAGTATTATAAGCAGAAAAGAATGGAGATACACAAATACTCACCATGACCTTCACATTGCCAATACACTCAAAGGAGTAGTCTACTCCCCCATCTGTCATCTCAATGAGTACTTCCTGCATGGGTTTAGTGAAATCTTGGGGGTTAATACATTCAGAGGCTCCAAACTCTTTAGCCTTTGCGAATTTATCTTTATTGATGTCGATGCCAATGATTCGGGATGCACCAGCCACTTTACAGCCCATGATCACTGCCAATCCAACTCCTCCCAGGCCGAAGACGGCACAGGTAGAACCAGGCTCCACCTATCACCAAAGACAGTCTGTAAGCAGCAAGCCAAGAGTCACGGCCTCACAGGACAGTCACTGTTCCAGCCATGTCGCACTGGACTGAATTAAGGCAGAAGCTGAAGCCCAGGCCAGTCTCTTACCTTGGCCGTGTTCACAGCAGCACCGTAGCCGGTTGAGATGCCACAACCAAGAAGGCAGACTTTATCCAAAGGCGCTGCAGGATCAATTTTAGCAATGGAGATGTCAGCCACAACTGTGTACTCAGAAAATGTGCTGGTTCCCATGAAATGAAAAACAGACTTCCCTTTGCAGGTAAATCTGCTAGTGCCGTCTGGCATTAGTCCTTTCCCCTGAGTGACTCTAGAGAAGAAGGGAAAAGGAAAATGGAAGGGTAGACTCATTTCCTTAACTCTCGAGAAAAAAAAGTCAGTTTAAAAATAATACCAGCAAATACTCAGAAAAGTATACTAAGTCAAAAACTCCTAACTTTGAATGCAGTGGTTCTCAACCTTCCTAATGCTGTCACCCTTTAATGTTGTGGTGACCCCCAACCCTAAAATTACTTTGCTGCTACTTCAAAACTGTAATTTTGCTACTGTTATGAATCATAATGTAAATATCTAATATTTAAGATATCTGATGTGTGACCACTATGAAAGGGTCATTTGACCCCCTAAAGGGGTTGTGACCCACAGGTTGAGAACCGCCACTCTAATGTATTCATTAACAACTTTCCACATTCCAACAAAACCTTACTAGATAAACTTACAAAGACTGATCGTACTCAGCTTCGGTATCCTTCTGGGATCTGCATACCATAAGCACTATATCCACCTATGTTCTATCTCAGTTAAGTTGTGCTATCAGAACAGAACTGATTTTTACAGGTTCAACTTCTGTGACATTATTTTAAAATTCTATAAAAACTTACAAGCAAATAAGGCTTCATAAATGATGAAGCCCAAACTAAAATTTATACAAGAAGAGATTCTAAACAATTATCTAACTCATCTTGTAAAAAACAAAGGCATCTCCATAGAGCTTCAACAGGATAATATTTCTCAAGGATTTGAATTCTACCCCACCTCTTCTTGAGACAGGGCTTCACTATGTAGCCCTGGTTGGCCTTCAGGGTGATATGTAGACCAGAATGGTCTCAAACTGAGAGATCCACCTGACTCTACCTCTTGAGTACTGAGATTAAAGATGTGCACCACCATGCCTGGCCTTTCTCTTTGACTGTGGTTAATTATCACTAGGGTGTGATGATATTGTGTTCCCCAATATATTGTGTACCTTAATAAACTTATCTGGGGTCAGAGAACAGAACAGCCACTTATGGTGATATTTTATTTGTACTGAAATGTGATTTTATTTGTATGTTAATTAAAATAAAGTTGCCTGGGGGTCAGAGCTAATAGCAAGCCATAGCAGAGCCGGGTGTTGGTGGCGCACACCTTTAATCCCAGCTCTTGGGAGGCAGAGCTAGGCGGATCTCTGTGTGTTCAAGGATACAGCCAGCACTGGAGACACACACCTTTAATCTCAATACCAACCATAGAAGACCTGGAGGTCTGTACAGACGGGCAGTGACGAGGAGGTCATGTGGTTGGGTTTACAACCAATGAGAAGGCAGAACAGAAAGTCTATATAAAGACAAACACACAGGAAGTAGGTCTCTTGGCTGAAGAGGATAGCTGCAGCAGTGAAGGGTAAGGCTCTTAGCTCTGACCTCTTGGGCTTTCATCTTTGCATTGGCTCTGTGTTTCTGATTTAATAAGACGGTTACTTCTACAGCCACTAGATATAGAGGCCAGAAAATGGTGGCACACACATCTTTAGTCCTAGCATCCAAAGGCAGAGATCGTCTGGATCTCAGAGTTCAAAGCCACACTGGAAACAGCCAGGCATGGTGACACACGCCTTTAATCCCAGGAAGTGATGGCAGGAAGCAGAAAGGTATATAAGGCTTGAGGACCAGGAACTAGAGCCTGGTTAAGCTTTTAGTAGCATTTAGATTTATTCAGGTAAGGACTCAGAAGCTCCAGCTCAAGGAAACAGGATCAGCGGAGAAGTTGGTGAGGTGAAGAAGCTGTGGTTTGTGTTCTGTCTCTCTGATCTTCCAGTATTCACCTCAATACCTGGCTCTGGGTTAGTTTTTATTAATAAGACCTTTTAAGATTCATGTTACACTAGGGGGAAAAACAAGCAAGCAAAATGCCCCCAAAACAACTCCCTAACCTCATTTATCTCACAAGAGATGGGGAACGAGCATTTGCTTAGGAGCACAGGCCCAGTCAGATGCTGATGGCCCTGAGCCACTTGACGAAGTGTTGCTTCTGGTGCCTCATTGCAGTGTGGAGAAGCAGCAGCGTCTTCCTTGTGGATTACTGCTACAAAACTCTGAATGTGTGGCATGAAAAGCATTAACACTGTGTCCAATGGTGTGAGGGTTCACTGCATGTGTGTAGGTCAGAGGGCAACCTTACGGTGCTGCTCTTAGTCCCCCCACCCTGTCTGAGACAGGGTCTCTTTGCTACTGTGTCAGTTAGATAGCTCATCTTCTGACTGTCCTGTCTCCTTCCATCTCCCTAAGGGCGTGTGGGACTACACTCTTGTGCTGCTGCAGCTGGCTCCGATGTGGTTTCTAGGGATCTAAAATTTCCCATCTGAGCCATCTTCTCAGCTGCAACATTTGTCATTTCTAATACATACAATAACCTGATAGACACTCAGATAAATAGTTTGAAATTTATACACGAATAAATACACAAATGAGGAGAAAACAGGTCTTCTACACATTGTTGTAGGAGTATAAACTCTTCCATTCACTTTGGAAAGCTGTGTGTGTGCTTCTCACAACTTAGCCAATCAAATCACAGGAATCCACCTTGAGAAAGTAGCATACATACCCAACAAAAAACCGGTAAGAATGCGGCGCTAATTTTAACAGCTCCCCTTGGTATGACCTAGGGGGAGCTAGGTATTTGGAGTGGAGTATGACAGAACAACACAAAAGGAGACATGCACACAGAAACGTGGACACTGCTCAGAGACACAAATAGAAGAAACCTGACAGCACATGCCTCGTGATCCAACTACACAAAGCCCTACAGGGAAAGCTACCAGGACAGTGGTGTCTTCTGCATGAGTCAGGTATTCGTTTGGAAGGGACATGAGGAGCACAGAGCACAGTGCTTGCAGAGATCTCTATCTGTACCTGGGAGAAGGGTCTACCCAGCAGGTAGGTATACAGGTAAACATTTACTGGGCTGCACATTTACAGTCTGTGTACCATGAGTAGTGTACTGATGTATGGTCTACCTCAGTAAAAAAGGGCAACAAACAAGATCGAAATGGTCTCAAAGGGTCCTCAAGTGGCAAGCCATACCTCACAACAGAACTGCCCTTTCTGTGTCAAGGGGCTTCTTATCTCCTGTAGGCTTCACACAACCCTTCTGTGGTAATTTTTATTACTTTGATTTAATGGGCAATAAAATAGCTCATAAAAAAGACTTCATTTCACTTTAAAAATCATGTTTTTCCTTGCAAATTTAGCTGGCTGTTACAGGAAGGGAATGTATTTAGAAAACTCTGACTCCCCTATCCCCACCACCCTTCTTTGGCTCTTTCAAACAAGACCATACATCCGTAGTCTGGACTGTGACCCTCCTGCCTCCATTTCCTGAGTGTTGAGATTACAGTTGTGGGCCACCACGCCTGGAAACAAGCTCCTGTTTTATATCTTAATGCCTGGTGAAACTGGGCAAACTTGGAGATTGCTAGGCCATGATTTTCTCATCCTTGAAAAATGCTTAGTAACGCTGACAGTGAGGCCTCTTTAAAAGACAGAATTAAGTAACTCCCGTAAAAAGCACTATATAAATCACCACACAATTACTTGCTGTGATCTATTATTTTTCTTGCGTGTATAGGTCTTTCGCATGTATGTATATATGTATGTATGTATGTATGTATGTGTACCATGTGTGTGCCTTGTACCCTGAGGCCAGAAGAGGGTATCAGTTCCCTGGAACTGGAGTGACAGATGGCTGTGAGCCACCATGTGGGTGTTAGGAATCAAACCTGGGTCTTCTGGAAGAGCAGCTTGTACAACAAGTGCCTTTTGGACCACTGAGCCATCTCTCTAGCACATACTTACTGTTAATAAGATCTCTTATTATAAGACTATGTTAAAAGAGGGCTGGGGAGATGGCTCAGCAGTTAAAAGCACTTACTGTGTAAACATGAAGATCTGAGTTCAAAGTGTAGAATCCATGTACAACACAAGGCATGACCCCATATGCTGGTAACCCTAGTGCTGGGGGGGCGGGGGAGAGGAAGCATGGAGTCAGGCCACCCCAGGAGCTGCTGGCCAGGCAGCTCAGCTGGAATGGAGAGCTTCAGTTTGAGACCCTTTCTCAAAGGAATGCGGTGGGGAAGTTGTGTAATAGTTCCCTCTGAAACTGAAACATGACATTCTACAAGGAAACTCCTTAATCAGAAAGGTAAACAATTCAGAAGAGCTTCAGGAAGTCCCTGAAACTGGCCGGATTCACTCGGCCCCTTCTTGCCAGAATAAGCAATAAAAGCTAGGAGTCCCCTTCAGACAAGCTGCAAAGAAGACTCGCAGACCAGAGCAGCGTCCTGGAAGAGGTTTAGACCAGCACAGGCACCTGGAAAGGACACTCTGTAACTTGTTGGGCTGCCTGCAGGCTGTGCAGTGTGCCCCATGTTCCCGGCTTCTGTGAGCTGTCACACATGCTAGGATGGACTTTGGTGATGCAACTGTCTTTGAGTATTTCTGCTCCTGTATGTAACCTCTCATCCATATTCCTATAAATAACCCCCAATAAAACTCATGGTTCGCCGGGCGGTGGTGGCGCACGCCTTTAATCCCAGCACTCGGGAGGCAGAGCCAGGCGGATCTCTGTGAGTTCGAGGCCAGCCTGGTCTCCAAAGCGAGTACCAGGAAAGGCGCAAAGCTACACAGAGAAACCCTGTCTCGAAAAAAAAAAAAAAAAAAAAAAACTCATGGTTCATTTCACCAAGCTGGACTTCGGTAGTATCTGTACTTTGGTCTGTGGTGGGGTAGACATATGTGTTACACCTTTCCAGGAAAAGAGTTTTGTCATGCAACAGGGAGGAAGATGAAGGTGGGGCGTGAGCCTCTTGGATGCCCTGCTGTGGCCCCTGCATGTGCAACAGACATACACATAGTACACGTATGTACATTAGATTTTTTTAAAAAGAGCTATATATATATATTTAAAAAAAGATACTAACCTTATCTTCTGGCAAAGGTTTGTTTTAGGATTCAGACAAAACTTGCATTCTCCACACTGTGGGATGTACAGGGGGATGACAGTATCACCTGGAAAACAGATGTGAGGTTGTTATCCTGAATGGCGCAGCTGGTTCTAAGTGAACACAGCAATCCTCTCACTTCCGTCAACAACCTCAAGGCTTAGAAACGCTGTCTAGGGCTGGAGAGATGGCTCAGAGGTTAAGAACACTGACTGTTCTTCCAGAGGTCCTGAGTTCAATTCCCAGCAACCAGATGGTGGCTCACAACTATCTGTAATGAGATCTGGCTCCCTCTTCTGGCCTGCAGGGACACATGCAAACAGAACACTGTATACATAATAAGTAAATAAATCTTTAAATAAATAAATAAACTGTAAGATAAATTAAAAAAAAAAAAAAAAAGAAACGCTGTCTAAAGAGCATGGTCCAGACACTAGCCAGCCATGCACAAAAAAGTACGTTTCCAAGTTTTTGATCTTAATGAAACTCTAAATAACTGGAGGATAAGGAGGATGGTATGTTTCAAAAACACCAAATCATTGATGCATCTCTAAAAATTCATGCTTAACTTGCCAAAACTGCTTTATGGTAATGTACTTAAAACAGCTTCAAATGAACAGCTGCTTGAAAAATCAAAGAGGAAAAAATGCATCCAAATACTTGTCCTTCTAAGATAAGTGAAATTAACTGTGACAACTTTTCAGGTGATGACCTGCTCATAAATAAATAGCTGTATAGTTATTTAGACAGTAATGTCCTCACAGAAACAAGCCAAAATCATTATGAGTGAATTAAATGCTTTCCTTACCTGCCTTCACCTTAGTAACCCCTTCACCAACGCTTTCCACAATTCCAGCACCTTCATGTCCTAAGATCACTGGGAAACACCCCTCAGGATCAGCTCCACTCAGGGTATAGGCATCGGTGTGGCAAACAGCAGTGGCAATGATCTACCAGGATGTTAAGAGAAAAAGCATCTAAGTATGCACGTGCAGCTAGAGATAACACATTTTGCAGCTTTTTAGATACACGTCTTTAATAATTTTACTTCTCTAAAACGAGCATGTTTATAATTCTTAGACCTGGCAGACTTCTTGGCAGTAATGAGAATGGTGGTGTGTTAACATGTAAGGAGGTGTGGCATAGCTATTTTCTTTCTGGTGTATGTGAGCAAGCAGAGGTAAAGCTGGTGGCTTTACCGTACCGTGCCTTCAGTAAAGAGGATCAGAACAGCGAGGGCCATCTCACTGCTGGCTTCCTACCTTGGGGGGAATGTGATGCCTAAGAAGACACTGTTTCTGAGAGGTACCTGTCTGTCTGGTCTCTGCCAAAACTCAGAGCTTTTAGTGGAACGGAGTTTTTTTGCTGACATACACAATTTCTACTCAAACAAGCCTTTCATTGGACTTCTCTGACTTCTAATAATTGTGTCTTGGGGCTGGAAAGATGGCTCAGTGATTAAGAGTGCTTGCTGCTCTTACAGATGATCTGGTTTTTCGTTTTCAGCACCCACATCAGGCAGCTCACAACTACCTGCAACCGCTCTGGGCTCCAATGCCCTCTGGTCACCTCAGGTTCCTACATGCACTTGGCATATATAAACTCACAGAGGCACATAAACATAAACATTAAAGAAAAAAAGCAATTAAATGCAAAATCTTGTTTGTATTTATGCTTTTCTGCTTCTGTCCTATGTACTCATTCTTTGCTGTAAGCCACCAATTTCCTGGGGATGAAAGCTGTCACTGTGTCCACATTACCCATCTCAGTTTAGGACAAACTGTCTTTACTGGCAAAAACACCAATCAGCTTAACTTCTGAACATGAACAGAAATACACAAAGTATTTTAAGATTTCAGAGTCTTAGATCTTGGCTGAAAAGGGCCTTGAAAAGCATTAGGTTTTGGGCTTCTCAACCAGATACTTGTGAGCCTTGGGACACAGGCTAGTGTGCACAGTGTGTCTGGCAGTGTCATGATGGTACAAGAGACCAGTGACTCTTTTCCTCGAAGAGCAACATTGTTTCAGAATGCTAAGGAGCAAAACACATGTAATGGTTATGACTTTAAAACATTAACTTTTCCCCAAAACAAGTACAGAGCAGAGGGTAAAACGAAGTTTTACAACTGTCAAAGAACCAAAGGTCTCTCCGGAATGCTGTCTTCTGCCTCTCTCTAGGGGTAACTTCTTTTCTTAGCCACAGTAGAGGGTAAGGCGCAGGGGACTCATGAATCCACTGAACCCTGGCCCAGTCCATCAGGGGCAGGGTCTTTTAAAGTTCTCTAGGCAAGGGCAATCTGTTTATTGCTCTCATCAATCAAGAACTCTTTTTCCAGTTTTCTGGAAGTAAACTGAAGACCAAGCCTATTCTTTGACTCTACTACACCACACTGTGAGTTATGGGATCAGCAGAAAGGAGAGGATCATATAAAGCCACCTTAAACCCAACCATAAAAGTCCTATCGTGGTAGTCCACTAATCCGGAGGCTTGGCTTCTTAGCCTGAGAGCAAATACAAAATGATGGAGAGGTTGATTCTGCAGCTGGAAGGCTTCCAATGCCGTCTCCTCGACACCACCCTTTGGGTTAATCCTCTGCGGCCCTCAGCCCACTCCTCTATGGGGAGACCTAACTGTAAGCTTTTTCCCACAGTGCCTTGCTGTAACGTTACCTTAATTCGGACTTCATGAGCCTTTGGAGGTGCTACTTCTATTTCCTCTATGGAGAGAGGCTTTCCGGCCTCCCAGGCGACTGCAGCCTTGCATCTGATCACCTGAAGTGGGGAAAAGGGAGTAAACAGTTTATCCTCCTAAATTAATAATTACTTCACGGTCGAATCAGATAACGATGAATGCTAATGTGGAGTGTACCAGGGCTGGGGAGATGGCTCAGTGGGGAAAGGCCCTGCTGTGCAAGCATGTGGAGCAGCTCAACTCCACAGCACACTTGGATGTAGTGGTCTGTCTGTAATTCCAGCACTCAGATGGTAGAGAGGGGATCCTCAGAGCAAGCTGGCTGGCTAGACTAACTGTACTGGCAAGCTCTGAGTTCAAGTGAAAGACTCTGATTAAATACATATGGTGGAGAGCGACTGAAGAGGACTCCGGATGTCATCTTTAGCACTCCACATGCCCACATTTGAACACGCATACACACACTCACACACTCCAGATTCGGATACATGTAAAACTAAATAAAGTGAACAACACATTCACAGAAAAACGTATACCTCTGAATGAGATGGTGAATTGTTTTCTAGGTTTCATATAAATAATATACTTAAAAAAATATATTTGAAGGGCCAGGGATGGTGATGCAAACCTTTAGTCCCAGCACTTAGAGGCAGGTGATCTCTGTGAGTTTGAGGCCAGCCTAGTCTACATTTCAAGTTGCAGGACAGTCAGGGCTACACAGAAAGATCCCATCTCAAACCCTCCCTGGAAAGTACACCACCACCACCACCACCACCACCACCACCACCACCACCAAACAACAACAACAACAACAACAACAACAACAACATCAACAACGCGCGTGCATATACATGCAGACACATAGATATTTGAAAGGCTGAAGAGATGGCTTGCTGCTCCTGCAGAGGGCTCTAGCTAGGTTCAGTGTTCAGTATCTACATGTCCACCCTTACTTGTAACTCCAGTGCCAGAGGACCTGTGCCTTTTTCTGACTTCCACAAGCTTCTGCATGCATGTGGTGCACATAAACATACACAGATACACATTAAAAAATTTATTTAAAAAAAGCATTTAATTGACACACTCATGACACTGTACAATGTATAAAGAACAGATTAAGATACAGGTCCTGCTGGGTGTGGAGGTGCATACCTTTAATCTCAGCACTGGGGAGGGAGAGGAAGGAAGATCTCTGTGAGTCTGAGGCCCACATACAGAAAGTTCTGGCCCAGCATGAGCCACATAGTGAGACTTTGTCAAAAGAAAAAAAAAAAAGAGGAAAAAATAAATACAGGTCCCAAGTTAGGGATGTAGCTCAACGGCAGAGCACTTGCCTCGAATGCACAGGCCCTGGATTCGATCCCTAACACAACAAAAGGCAAGCCAAGCTAAGAACAACAATAACAACAAAATTCCACCCCGATCCTGTCAGTAGGTTTGACAAGTAAGTCAAGGAACCACAAGTTTATTACTATGTATCCTAATAATCTTTTCCTTGGGATAGCTTATAAAACACCACTTTAATGTAAAACTGCACAGTGGAAAGGATCCTAAGAAATATCCAAATGGGAGATATGTAAAAATACCATAACCATCTCTTCTGTGTTAGCTAACACATTAGCGATTTGCCATGTGTGGCTACTGAACACTAGAAAAAGGTCAGTGTGAACTGAGATCGATTATAAATGTAAAATTTTGAAAGCTTAAAAGAGTAAAAGTATCTCAATTTAAAAATACTGACAACATATTGAAACAGTGCTGTGACTATTAGGCTGGGTAAACATGCCATTGGAATTAATTTTATGTGTTCTTTTTAATGTGGCTTCTGGAAAGTTTAAAATTCCATATACAATTTACATCGTGCATCTAAGGCAATGAGCTACCACAGCGATTACACCCAGCACAACCCTTCCTTACCACAGAAGCATGCCTAATGAGGAATGTTGGGTTTTGTTACTTCACTTGATGCTTATGAAATACGTTGACAGACTAAAGGTTGCAAGCCACCGGGTTTACAGGAGATGGGCTTCAAAGTCAATAAACACTAAAACGTGATTTAAAGAAACAGGTACACGGTGCTGCACACGGCAAGCGAAGGCCGGAGGAAGAGCCTGACTTTTCTTAGTAGTTTTGAGCACGGTCAGTGCTCCAGCTCCGCCATCCTGCAACTGCGACGCGGGCAGGCTACTCCATCCCGCGTGAAGGGCACGGGCCTCTCCCCAGCCGGCTCGGGCCGAGCAGAGCAGAAAGCAAAGCTGCTCTCCAAGCGCAGGGCCGAAACAAAGCCTCCCTGCCCTCGCTGCGGCTGCGCTCGCCTCCCGAGGCTGGCGGCAACGTGCCACCCGGGCGCTCCCTTCCTCTGCTCGGGCCCATCGCGCGTTTCAATACCTGGTTCGCCATGTCCGCAAGTTCGTAAGCTGCACGTCTACTAGTGTAGCGGATCCCAGGTATGGGCGGGTCGTGCGTGGGAGGCGGGGCTGAGCGCGGGAGGCGGGGCTCTAAAGCAGAGACGGCGTGTGCGTAGGGGCGGGACTTGAGAGGGGCGGGCCCTAACACCGGAAAGGGCAGGACTTGAGTTTTGGCTCCCGCGCTGCCCTGCAGAGGGCTGGGGTTTTGTCCAGAGCCGGTGAAACTTTTTGCTCCGGACTGGTCTGACCGAGTCGCTGCAGAGCATCTCTGTGGAATTTCCCTGACTAGTTTTAGTGCAGTCGTTGTAGGTAAGGCTTAGAAGTGAGAGAAGTATAACGTGAAGAAACCGGAATGCCACTGAACCGCGTGGAGGACAAGCCACGCCTTCCGTGTCGTCCCCTCTCCCCTAACTCGTGCTTGGCGCTTCTGGGTACAGGATACATCAACGCTGCTTCCTGCTGTGAGACTCCTGATAACTCGGAACACTAGAGGGAGAGAGAGAGGCCGTCCTGGAAACAAACTGCCCCAGCTTCGGTTCCAGCAGCTTCTGATGTGTTCCTGGGATTTCAGGGGCCATAGGTCACGGGGAGAAAAATTAGCAGGAAGGGAATGAGGGAGCAGAACGGGCGCGTTTTAAGAGCAATCCTAAATGCTGCTTGTAGCCGGGGAGTTTTTGTTGTTCTCTTTGTTTTTCAAGGCTTATTTCCTGAAGACAGACCTTATGAGTTGACGTTCTCCACAATACTGTTCGAAGCCCTTCCCTCAACTCACACTAACTCACACTCTGACTTCTAACTTATATATAATAATTATAGGATGACCACCAAATTCTGTCCCCAATCAAGGTGGCTTTCCTAAATGCCAAGCTTGAAGTGCAGAGTACCTACTAGATACCTGTGTGTATTAGGGTATCTCATAGTGCTTACAACTCAGCTCATTTAAAACTAATCTTGTACTTTCTTCTCTACATCGCTGTCGATGGGAAGTAATGCCCATCTACCTGTTCCAGCCAGAAACCCGAGAATCACAGTGTAGGGTACTTAGATTGTCCCAAATGACCAGAAGACACCCGATATGCAATTGCAGAAAGCAGCTTTATTCTCAAGACAGAAAAACCAGCATGCTAGGGTCCACCCAAAGTGGCATTCACCCTAGGGAAGAGTGAGGCAGTTCCTTTTAAACTTGCTTAGTGGAATTCCAGCTGTGGTTAGGTGTTCCTTGAAGTGATTGGGTATAGACCCTGACTGATACAGGAGTCATTCAGTGATTGGTTCATGACATCTGCTGAGCAACTGTGGTTGCTATGTCAGGGGTCTGAAGACCGCAAGAACAGTTCCTACTTGTGGTGGGGTAGGGCACTGATTGGCCACCGCACTGAGCATACTTCCTGAGGGTCTGGTTGAAGTCAGACATGAATCACATAGGATAGTGGGGTAATATGGGGCACAGGTCTTAGCAAACTGGCCCCTTAAAAAACAAACAAACAAACAACTGGTTCTGATGCCTCCATTCCTCCCTCCCTTGAGTTGAAACATAAGTCAAATCTTTGAACTTAATGGAGTTCTATATTATTTGTAAGCTGGGACCTATATTGGCTGTGAAGGACCATTAATTTAATTGCTCCTGTGCATTCTTTTATAGTACAGAGGAGCGTGTTGACTATATATGGCCCAAAAATCAGTGCTAGCAGTAGGATCAATAGGGGTCCTATCAATGTGGTTAAGGTGGTGGCTCATGGGGACCATGAGAACAAGGTTTCGTACCAGTTAGAACTGTCCCTTCTTCGTTTTTCTCTATCCTGTAACCTTTTACACACCAGGGGCAGATTCTTTTATCAGTCTGAATGGTTAGTGTAGAAGCAACATTGTTGTCCGAGGGCCAGGCATAGTCCTCCCTGTTGTAAGAGGAGGAGGTCTAACCCTGGTGGTTCTGTAACACTACCTCTACTAAAGAAATGAGGGATGATTCGAGGTGGGAAATAGATTTTTCTAACTCAGCCAGATCTGCATCAATCAGGGCACCTAAAGTTTTGTAATTTTCATGTTGTAACACAAGGGCAGTAGTGCCTATTCCAACTATCCCCAGACCTACCAAAGTGAGAATCAGGAGCGCTGAGACTGCTGTTGTAGGGAAGATGGCTAGGTGGGTTCTCATAGTCTCATCCGAAAAGAAAGAACTTGAGGGAAAATCTGAAAGGACACAAAATCCTGAGTTTTGTTGTAGTGTCTGGGTGTGTACACATGGGGTAAGACCTGTGGAGCATGCCCACCAGATGCCTTTAGGCACCTTGAGGTAACAGGTGGTGGAAGTCCTGGTAATAAAGTGGATGAAGTTGCAGAGGGGCAGATAAGCCTCCTAGAATGCAGGATACAAAGGCCAGTCCTGCTGATGGATACTAATGTAAGCTTGGGGTGTGTTCCCCATGGGCAGGTCAGAATTATTTAGGTAATCATATGTAGCCAATAGGAAAAGAAAAGCTTGATTAATTGCTCCTTGGGACCAGGAGAGTACCCTAGCAGGGGTGATATTATAAGGGGGCTGACTGTCCCGGAAAGGGGTGGTCCCGTGGGTGTAGCCAAGGCATTTATACCTGGATTTGGGCCAACTGGGATAGGCTGATGTAAAGGGACTATGAATTGTTGAATGGTGAATAAGACACTGTCATAACCATTGAACCATAGTCTTAGCCACCAAATCTTTCCAGTAGTCCAGTTAACTTGTCTCCTGGCTGATATAATGGATCCAGATCAGAATGGGGTTGCATTTACCTGACCCTGCACAGGCTTGGAGGTCTTTTTTTTTCCAAAGTTGGGGATTAGAAATTCCTAGTAACAGAAATATGGTCTGGCTTGTTAGTATCCCAAGAAGTGCTAGTTTCACATCCCCAAGTGGCACAATAGAATTGTCCTGGTCCTCCACAGTTGTGCATGGCTGGTCCAGGACAAACATAGAATTTAGTAGCTTTTAAGTGGTCCTTCAGGCATTATCTGTGACAGTCATAACCTGCAGAGCAGTCATCATAAGACAGGATCTTTCCATCTATACCAGTGTCCCAGGTTGTTCCAGCAAGATCATAGAGATCTATGTGCTGGATGATCAGATCATGCATTTTATTTTTTCTTTACTTTTTTCTCTTATTGAAAATCGTTTTTTTCATATAATATATTCTGATTATAGTTCCCCCTCCCTCAACTCATCTGAGATCCTTCCTGCCCCCCCACATCTGAATCCACACCCTTTCTGTATCTGGTTAGAAAGCAAACAGGCATCTGAAGATAATAATAAAATAAGATAAAACTGGAATAGGGCAAAATAAACAAACGGAAGAAGAGAGTCAAAGAAAAGCACTAGAAACACATAGCTGCAGAGAATACAAATGTTCATATACACAGGAATCCCACTGAAACAAACCAGAAACCAAAATACAGACTCAAAGGATCTGCAAGGTTAAAAGAAAAGTTCTGGCAAAACATGAAACAACCTCCAAAGGTGCCAATGGATCGTTTTGTGTTTGCCATCTACTGGGCACGGGGCCTGCCCTTAAGGGTGGACTGTGTCCCCAGTGAGACTCTGTTGGGGAGAACTAACTTTTCTTTTGTGAGTAGTTATAAATTGGGGATAACTTCCGGGTTAGGGTTGGGGGCTTGGGTCTACTTCCCCTCTCAGGGCTGGAACCCCATTGGCCCAGACCTGTGCAGGTACTGTGCATACTGCCTCAGTCTCTGTGAGTTCAAATGTGCTTCAGTCCTGTGTTTATAAGGCCTTGTTTCTTCTGTGTCCTCCATCCTATCTGATCTTACAATCTTTTTACCTCTTCTTTTCTGGGGTTCTTTGAGCCCCGAGGGGGGGGTTTTGATGGAGACATCCCATTTAGAAGTGAGTGTTTCAGGTCTCTCACTCTCTGCACATAGCCCAGCTGTGGGTCTCTGTGTTTATTCCCGTCTACTGCAGTAGGAAGCTTCTCCAACGATGGCTGAGCAAGGCACTCTTTTTGAACATAAATAATCTTGTTAGGAGTCACTGTATGGCTATGTTCCTTTAGCAGAACAGTAGTGTTTGGTTTTCCCCTAGCTCCCTGTCCTATCTGGTCTCAAATGCCGAAGCAGTGTTGGTGATGGATTCCATCTCATGGAGTGGGCCTTCAATCCACTCAGATAGTGGTTGGTTACTCCCACGACCTTTGAGCCCTATTGCATTAGTGCATCTTGCAGGCAGGTCGTCATTGTAGATCAAAGTGTTTGTAGGTGGGTTGGTGTTTAACCTTCTCCTTTGGTAGCATGCAGAGTACCTTCCAGTACCATGAACACTTGTCAGTAGGGGTGACGGCCCTAGGTAAGGCACCAGCTTGATTTCTCCATGTTCAGTGAGTTGTATAGGTGTTGTCTTCAGCAGTGGGGCCTTACTGTCAGTTTGTGGAGATCAACCAATAGCCTTGGCAATAGTCTGGGTTATTTGGGGGTTCCCATGGGGCTCCTTTTGCCAACAACTTGATTAGATATAGTTCATTCCTGGCACTGAAAGTTTCATTTGATGATGAGAGATTTCCAGTTGGGGATCCATTTCCTCCATTATTTGGCAATTTTATTTAGATCATCTTCATATTTTAGGAAGGTTCATAGTGGGTTCCCATACAACCTCTCAAATGGCCCTTAATTTTAGCTGTTCCTCCCCATATTTCCTCTCACCCCCTCTTTCCTCCCACTCCCCATTTGACTCTCCAATTTATGTGTCCCTCCTACCCCCATCCATCCATATATATCCTGTTTTCCCTTCCCTGGGGAGCTCTACCTCTCTCCCCTAGTCCCTTACTCTATACCTAACTTCTATGGATCTATGGATTGTACCTTGCTTATTGAATAATTAACAGCTAACATCCACATACAAGTAAATACATGCCATGTTTGTCTTTTTGGGTCAGGGTTACTTCACTCATGATTATTTTTTTCTAGCTCCATCCATTTACCTTTGAATTTCTTTCTTTCTTTCTTTTTTTTTTTCAAAGCTGAGGACTGAACCCAGGGCCTTGCCCTTGCTAGGCAAGTGCTCTACCACTGAGCTAAATCCCCAACCCATACCTTTGAATTTCATAGTGTCATTTTTTTAA